TTTTTGCAAAAATTGCAATGATTTTAAGTATCTAATCACTTCTGTTGAAGCTGCTTTTACATTGACCTTGTTTGGGTGTTTGTGTTGGTTCCAGACAGTAGTATCCTTAGAGGTGATATTCATGACTCTGACAAATTTGTTAAGATTGTCTGAACATGTAATCCAAGTTTTGGAAACTGGTGATATAAACACTTAACAGATAAGTGCAAATTTATGTGGAGAGTAGGAAATTTGGCAGACAGATCTTCCATCTTTTATTTTCACTCTCTCCTTGTTCACCTACTTGTGTTGTGTGCTGGAATCTGATAATCCATTTGCGTTATGAAGTTGCTTTCAGAACATCTTGTGGTTCCCACTGCACCAAAATTCTCATTCTGTTCTCCAGGGTTGCTACAGGATAATGTAGCAAAGTCTAGTTTATGAATGGGATTTTGCACATGTATTCTTGTTTAAGCATCAGTAGTACATATTATGTATTTGGTGCTAGCTTTTGCAATTATTTGATTTTTGCTAAGCAGCTATTTTATCTAATTCTGACTAGTGTGACATTTTTTAATGTGTTCTCCCTTGATTATGGTGTTTTGCTGATTTGTACCTCTGGACTCCCAGATTAATTTATTTGGTCAGGTTTGGTTTCTATTCTTTGTTAAATGTCCTAAGGGATACAATCCTTTGATTAAAATAGCTTTATATTTGTGTTTACTTAATGAGATTCTTGTGGCTGTTCAGTTTCTCATTAAATTATTGCTTGAAGCAGAGAAACCTGAAAAGGCGGCTGAAGAGGGAATGGTTCTACTTTTGTATGGAAATTGACCAATTTTTCCTGACTTTTTACAGTTACTGGCTTTATGCATGATTTCCATAAAGCTAGCTATCTGCATACCTTCTGAATGCAATTAATCTAAAGTGCAGCATGTGGAAGATATATGCAGTCTTGTTTTTTTTCCTAATCTGAAGAAACAGCTGATAGACAAGCTTGTCTGATCTTTTTGGTCAATGGTATCCAACATTGTGTGGACATTATAGGTGTGCATCAAATTAAATCTTAAGACCCACATATAAACCTTGAATTCAAGATCTTATTTAATCTGGATATATCTTGATTTGCTGATGCCTCTAAGTCTTGTATTTTGGTTTGAGATTTATTTACCACTGAGACAACGGCATTGAAAAGCCTTTTCTACAGCTATCCATACAACCCAAAAGGCCAGACAAGAGAGTGAGTAACTTCTCTCCACAGGACAGTACAAGAGGTTTCTCATGCCTTTTGGATTCCTTCATAATTTTGCTCATTTTGTGGTAAAGGAAAAGTTAGGAATGTTTGACCACCAAGATTGTTTTAGTTGGTCAGCCATTGTGAGACTATTTGCCCAAATGAGCCTCTACGGTGATTGCATTGATGCTTTTTAAGGGTTATTGTAATTTTGCCTTGGTACTTTTAAGTTCAAATTATGGAGAGGAAAAAAGTTGAGTCAGCACACTATTGTGCTATAGCTAGCATTCTACTGCAAATTAATTTCTCCCTTGTGTTCTGATTTCCCTCTGAAATAGCATTGTTTTTGAAAAAAGGCAGGAGGCTTGAGTGCACCCAAGAAAGAAGCCCAGAAAGCCAGTAGTCTTGTGTTATTGGTTTGCTGTGTTATACAACTAGAAATGGTTTTTATTTGGTTATGCCAGGTTATTTATCTAGTATACTACAGCAAAACTGAATTTACTACCATTAAATCCTGCAAATAGGTTTCTGCTCCTTCATTCAAAATCTTAAATTTTCATCTGGGTGCATATTGGATGTAAATTCTAAGCCTTTGATAAATACAGTCTAGTGCTGCTAGCATCGAATTAAACTTATATCCTATCATTCACATTCCTTCAGAACCATTAGTAAGATAAGTACGTGCATTCTTATTTTCCCAAAGGGAGATTGGGATGTCATGTAGACTCGGTTTCACGTTCTGTAGATTAGTTTTTTTTCAAATGCATGTTAACTGTTTTACCTTTTCGATTAAGGCTTGACATTATCTTTTGATGTTGCACATGCTGGTTTATTTTGGGAATTATCAAATTGAAGCAGGAGATAAGCTTGCTGAAATGGATGTGGTGGGAGCTGTTAACCTTAATGTTTAAGGTTCTAGTCATAGACATTTTGATCAGTGTTCTTTTGTAAATGATGCACTATGCTATAGCTATTTTACCTTAAATTAACATGGGTTTTGTTTACAGAAATCTTGAGCTGAAGACACATTTGTGCACATCTCTAGTGGAATAATTCTTAGGAAATATCTAAAAGAAACAATATCTTTAATTAGATTTGAAAGCAATCTTGAGGCTGGGGTGGTGATAGCATAATTGCTAAGCCAAATTTCATAAAGGCTGCTGGAAATGTAAAGCATCCAAAATTTTTCAAGTTTGCAACCTAACCAGGTTGAGATGCCGATTTTAAGTTGGATTCGCTAAGCCAAAGCTTGGTTTTGTTGATCACTACCTGTTATAAGCAATTTTTGGCAAGGGAAAAATCCATATTTGTAGTTTGAAATCTCCAACCAACCCACCCACCCACCCAATGAGAGTTTGCGTGTATTTTCTGGGTTAACTTGGCTGGCTTGTTCACGTTAGCATGTTTTCAAAGAAATTATAAATTGTGACAATTCTGGTCAAGTGCAGTCATTTTAGTTTTCTACCAATTTGTGTTGGATGACAACTCCGGTCTCTACTAGTGCACGCTCCTTTCCTCTCCTGCTCTTGGTAAAAGGTGAATTTGCCTGGTTAGGAATTACCATGTTCCATACCAACTTTTCAGTCTTGAGTGGTTCATCTAATATGGCCAGTTCTTCGAGTTTCCATTTGCTATCATATCCATGGTGCTTGTTCAAAGGCTATGGTATTGATAAGAGTTAATTGCACAGGTGGTACTATCATAAGTGATTTTCAATTGTGTAGCCATAACATCATGTACCACAGTTACTTTAGTTGTTTATTAGGCTTGATACATTCCAAATAATTTACATAGCATTCTTTGCAGAATGCTAAGATGACACCTTGATTAGTTAGGTTTAGGATGTGGGTGTAAATGGCCATTAATGTGGTGATTGCTCAAGTGGGTAAAACTCAGTTCTCTTTTATATTCTAATTCTGACTTGGTGAATCTGAGTCTGTTCACCATCTTAAAGAAAACAATGGAATCATTTTGTGTATTTAGGCTATTCTTTTTTAGCATCAGTCTCAAGATGGCAAGAAATGTTGTCAGGGACAGCATGCATCTTTACAATTGTTTGTTTGGTTTCCATATGGAATGTGATGTTGGCTACCTTACTACAAAGTGGAAATTTGCAAAGCAACTGCAGTCAATTGGCTGAGATGCTTGGATTTCTGTGGTTGACTCCACTTTTTCCATATCCAAAATGGCCAGAGATTGGTGTTGTAGGATATGTTGCTTGCCCAGTTAAAGGTCCGTAGGGGAATGGATGTGGACATTGTTTTGAATTCCAGTGACTTCACAGGCATCCTTCTAGGCATGCAGTGTCCATCACCGATTAATCCTTGGTATGAACTGGTTTGTTTTCGGAGCAAACAAAGACCTAGTGTTTCGGGTAAATAGTTCTTTGAAAGTTGCATTGTAGGTAGACGGTGATTTAAGGTTTCTAACACACTTGCCTTCATTGCTCAAACTATTGAGTGTAGGAGTTGGGAAGTCATGTTGAGGTTATATAGGGCACCATGGTGGCTCAGTGGTTAGCACTCTTGTCTCTCAGCACCAGGGACCCAGGTTCAAATTCCAGCCGTGGATGACTGTGAACTCCACACTGACATTCTCCTTTTTGTTTGTGTGGGTTTCCTCCCACAATCCAAAGATGTACAAGTTAGGTAGATTGGGTAATTCGGTACAGCTACAGTGTGCAGATGTGTAGGTTAGGTGGGTTAGCCATAAGTGTAAGATTACAGGAATTGGGTGGAATGCTCTTCGGCAAGTTGGTGTGCACTCAACAGGCTGAATGGTCTGCTCCCATGCTGTAGGGCTTCTATGAATTACAGAATGTTGGTGAGGCCACTTTTGGACTAGTGTGTAGTTCTGGTTGCCCTGCTGTAGGAAGGATATTAAATTAGAGGGTTCAGAAAAGAATTTACCAGGATGTTGCTGGACTGGAGGGTTTGAGTTATAAAGATAGGCTGGGACTTTTTTTTTCACTAGAGCATAGGTCAAGGGGTCACCCTAGAGAGGTTTATAAAACCATGAGGGCCATAGATAAGGTAAATAGCAAAGGTCTTTTCCCTATGGTGAGGGTAGTTCAAAACTAGAGATCATATTTTTAAGGTGACAGAAAGATTTGAAAAGGACGTGCGGAGCAACTTCTCAGAAGGTGATTCATACTTGGAATGAACTGCCAGAGGAAGTGGTGGATGCAGGTACAGTTAAACATTTTAAAAGACATTTAGACAAGTACATGAATAGGAAAGTTTAGAGGGATATGGGCCAAATGCTGGCAAGTGGGACTAGTTTAAATTTGGGGAACCTTGGTTTGGTCCAAACCAAGGGTCTGTTTCTGTGCTGCATAACTCTGCCTTTTGCTAGTAACTGTTTGGATTTGTCCGTTTTTCATTAGCACGGTACTAACTTCCTCTGGGCGTTCTAACTTCAACTAAAAATCTGTCGTACCCAATTCTTAAAAATTGTCATCCTCTGATCTTGTTCAAGTTATCATTATTCATTGCAAGATTTCCCTCCAGTTTTGAACTGTAAGAATGTGTAATGTAGCTGAACTGAATGTAAACCACTCCCATTCTGCCATCTCCCTAGAGATTATTTCTGAGAATATTAATTAGGAAGCTGTTGGGAGCATCAAATGGGACGTGGTTTCACCATGCAATGTTTTGTACAGACACACTTCTTTGCAAGCTAAAATGACTTTGAAGGCTTGATTTGTTGCCTTTCAGAAACAAAAGCAGTTCTGATGTTTCAGCTTTCCCTTTTTTGAGTAGCTTAAAATCTCTCTCTTCTTTTACAGAAATAAGCAGAGTACGAAAGGACATGTATACTGACACAATGAATGGCCTTGTAGACAAGCTGCCAATGGACCTACCAGAACCCATAGGACCTATTATGCAGTTACAAGAAAAATTATTTGTGCCTGTGAAAGAGTATCCAGATGTAAGTTTCCTTTTTTTGGGGGGTGGGTATTTGTGTGAATTGGATAGTTATGATTTCATAGTCATGGAATATTTAGCAGGTTTTCAATTTACTAATCAGTGGGCATAAACTGAAACGAGCATTTTTATAAGTTTTGTGTACAGTTTTTATGGCAGCAATCAATTCGTACTATAAAAATACTTGCCTTAATTCAGTTGGTATTTTGGCATTGTGTACAAGTTTTGACTCTGAATGCATTCAAATGAAAAGGCAGCTGGTACAAGCTTTTGGATATTTCTAATCAACCTGGTCAGACATGTTATGATACCTCTAGACCAAGTGGGGGTTGAGCCCAGACCTTCTGGCTCAGAGGAATACTACTCCACTGCACCAAAAGATCCTTGATTTTCTGATCAGCCTGTTCAGATGTTCATTACACAATGCTGCAGCAGGTGAAACTTGAATCCTGGCCTCCTGTGCTATGAACCATCTAGTGTCAGCTTTTATTGTACTTTTTTAAAATCCTGTTCATGTATTCCCAATAGTTAAGAATTTGCCCTTTCTGGGGCATGGGGGGTAGTTTTTCTCTGTACCTGTGCTCTGTGTATATTCCATAAAAATACTGACTTGCTGTGTTTGTCTTCCAGTGACTTGGATGTAAAATTGCAACTGAGAGTTACAAAGCAGTGAATTGTCATTTTGTCTCAATGCAAATTGATATCTACAGAGTGAAGGAAAGTGCCATGAGAACCTGGTGGTTAAATAAAGTACTGATGAAAGCAATTAAAAGATGCCGAGAGAAGTTCTATTTTAATTTGGTACAATATCTGCTGAAAGTTCAATGGCAAAGAAGGAAATTTCTTGTAGTCCAATCATCTATGAATCACTACCTAGTTTTGTTTTAATCATTTGAGATGACTGTCTACTGACTAGGCCAGTGATTGTGAAAAGATGATGGTACACTGCCTCTTTGAATGCACCCAAATGGTTTGCAATGTTTTCAGATGGTAGCTAAGGTTAAATATTAACAATTCTTTTCCTAAAGGATGTTTGTGAACCTATTGAGCTTCTTCAACAGTCTGGTTTTGTGATTTGTATTCCTATTCCTGTATTTCTGTTGTGTGGTTGGATTTGAACATGTGTTCCTGGATAATTTGTGCCTCTGGATTGCAGAGAATTTAAATAAACCAAGTTTAATTTCACTTCTGAAGGGGATAGAGTCAGAGGAGGTAGTGATTTGGATTTGAATGTTTGAAGGAATGAGTGTTAATGGTATAATGTTTTAGAGGAGGAATGGAGGAGCTCCTGAATGAACATTTGAGAGGGAGGGCAAACCCTTGGGACATCTTAAAATCTTGCTTTCTCAACTTAGTTGTTTTAAAGGCACACTGACTTTGAAATTTGTAGATCCCATGTGCATAATTCTTGAGATGCCATATAACAATACCTGTGGTGACATAGGCAGGTTTTTTTTTAGTTCTATTTTAAAGTGGCAGCATAGTTGTAACTTGAGTCTTTGTTTCAACCTGTTAACAAAGACGACTGATTTCTTACGTTTTTCTCTCTCCTTGTCCAGTCTCTTCCCAACTATGTTTCTTTTATTTCCTTTCCGTTCATAGGATGTTATCATTGCTGGCTAGGCCAGCATTTATTGCCTATCCCAAATTGCCATGGGGCAGTTGCAAGTTGGCTCACAGGCCAGATCGGATATAAATAACGAGCTTCCTTCCTTAAAGGGTTCAATGAAGCAGATCGATTTTTATAACAATTGACAGTGGTTGTATGGTCACCATTAGGCCAGCTTTTAAAATCCAGATTTTTGAATTCGGACTTCATCAGCCACGGTGAGATTTGCACCCACATCACCAGACCATTAGCCTGAGCCTCTAAGTTACTAGCCTAGTGACAATACCACTAGGCCACTGCCTCACTGTGCCTTCTAACAGTTTTTTTTAATGGTTCCTATTTCTGAACCCTAATTGTCTCCTTTTCATCATGGACATCAATTTTGCTACCTGAACAGCTTCAAAGGCTTTTTTTAATAAACAGAAATCACCTGGCTCCTGCCATTTACTGCCTGTCTGAACTTTCCTTTGCATTGATCAACTTCTCTTTTAACTTCACTTGCTTCCTCCTAAAGGTTCTTTGGTAACCTATATACTTCATGGGTATGTTTTCCCCTTTGTAAAATATGAAACTAAATTTATTTCTTCCAGTCCCACTTGGATTTTCAGCTATATATATTCCAATACATTGGAAAATGGCACTGATGCAGTCACTAAAATGAAACCACTGCAGGTTTTGAAGATATGAAGATATGAAACAAAAACTCGGGTCTGGCAGTATCCGTGAAGACAAAGTGGAGTTAGCGTTGAGTCCAGTAACCTTTCAGCTAATCTATTTCTGTTCTTATTTTTGTTACCAATGCAGTCAACTTCTCTGTTTTTCGACTTGTTTGAACTAAGCCTAGTTTGTAGAGAGTTACTGATCAATATCCACTATAAACTGACTACACTTCGGCCTATAAGGACACTGTTCCTTTCTCCAAGTTTCACTGTCCCTGTAATGTCTGTCCTGCCAGTGTAACTTCCATGTCAAATGACATGCTTGCTCTCCCCAGGTCAGACTTCTGTTTGTCATGTCTGACATGATCTTTGGCATTTTGTTCCAGTTTCCATACATCTCTTACCCCTTCTTGCTTCCAAACCTGTGATAGTGTTACATTAGGAAGGGCAGGCTTCCTCTTGTACTCCATGTTCTAGAGAATAATTTTCTGCCACTAAGTATGATGGTGCCACAAAATACATCATCCCCAACCCTTTTAGCATTCTTAAGGTATTATTGCCTCAGGTGCACCCTGGTCCAGTCTTTCATCAAGGACTGGAAATGTGGAAATTCTACTGATCATCCAGATGTATGAGATGGCTTTTGAAATGTTGCTTTGGAGCAAAGGATTAACTTTTCTTTTCTAAAGCTACTGAACGTGTGTACAAGGAGCTATGTCATAGCTCCATTTAGCTTCATGTAGTTAAGGCCAATATCTGTGAAGTTCCCAAAGATTTTCTTGTTGGCATCCAGTTGTAGACCTATTACCTTGTGCAGCAAATATTGAAAGGAATTGAGATGTTATCCACATACAACCACAGAAGCTGCAATCATGAATTAATGTGATAAGCCTTTTAAAACAGTGCCAGTAGTTGAGATTTTAGGTGGATATATGCTTAGATTTGCAGAAACAAAAATTAGTTATGAAGTGATGTACTGAAATATGATGTGACAGTTATGGGGTGACCGTCAGTTTTGAAAGACTTATGATAAACTGGAAAATGCAAACAATATTGGTGCTCTTGGAGCAGACTGATATCAAAGACACAGCTGCTTTTCACAGACAGTTCTTTGACACTCCTGCTCAAGTGCACCAGTATGAATTTCCACTGAAGTATAACCAATCTTTTAAAGAGACACAACAGAACTTGTCACCAGTCTCCTCTTATTCCTTGTCTGAGAGGCAACATTATTTTGCTGTTTAAGGGAATTTGACCATGGTACCAGATGAACTACCTGTCTTGGGGTTTTTTATGCCCAGCTGAGTCCCGAGGCCTTTGGCAGCTTTGGCAGGGTTGCATACTCAGGACTGAAGTGTCTGTTTTATAATTTGCTGAGATACTGCTGTGTTGTGTGTTCCCAGATCTGCCAAACTGAGATTGAAACGGCTGCACAGTATGATACTTTTCAAAAATAAAGCTTGTGGAGGCTTCTTAACAAGAAGCATAATTCCAAGTTGACACTAGTGCAAATTCAGAATATTTGCGGTGTTGAGTGTTAGATGTATTTGAGCAAAAACAAAGTTCTGGAAAAGCTCAGCAGGCCTGGCAGCATCTGTGGAGGAGAAAACAGTTAATGTTTCTGTTTCAGTTCTGAGGAAGGGTCACCGGACCTGAAACGTTAACTCTGTTTTGTCCTCCACAGATGCTGCCAGGCCTGAGCTTTTCCAGCAACTTTGTTTTTGTTCCTGATTTACAGCATCCGCAGTTCTTTTGGTTTTTATTATGTATTTGAGCAGATGGGCATATTTTCAGACTCCTTTTTATGAATGAGTTAAATGCAGTTTTTGGAAACTGCATAAATAGTCCACTTGCCATTTTTTGTTTTGGTGAAATTGTCCTTGATTCCAAATGGCTTGATTTTTAACCCAGTTTTGAATCGAGCTATTCAGGATGTTGTTGCACCCCTCTAGAGCAGATGGGACTTGAGCCCAAGCTTCCCAGTCTAGGGGCTCTACCACTGCATAACAAGAGGGCCTAGGCTGATTCTTAATTCAAATCAACGTATTCAGAGATGTTAGTGCACGCCTGTGGAACAGTTGGGACATGAACCCAGGCATCTCTGATCCAGGGGCAGAGACACTGCCACTGTGCCACAAGAGGGCCATCAAAATTGGCTCAAGCCTGTTTTTTTAATCAAGCTGTTCAGTGATGCTGTTATATGCCTCTGGAGCAGGTGGGACTTGAACTTGGGCCTGCTTATCTAGTGGTAGTGACTCTCCCACTGAGCCATGTGGGCCCAGGCTTGATTTTTTTGACTTGTTTTAAACTTTTTTAAAACCCACTTTTTCTGTCTAATCAACCTCTTCAGGGATGTTATTACACACCTCTGGAACATGTGGATGTTGAACCCAGGCCTCTAAGTCCAGGGGCTCTACCACTGCATGACAAGAGCCCCAGGTGTGATTTTAACCTAATTTTTTAATCAACCTATTCAGAGAATTTACACACCTCTGGAGCAGTGGCATTTGAACCCAAGCTTCCTGTTCCAGGGATAGGGACACTACCACTGCCATAAAAGCCTGGGTTTGATTTTAATGTGTATTGAGTTAACTGTTTTCAGCTGGGTTCTGCAAAAAGTTATTTTATTTAATAACCCTTAAATTGAATAAATAGGATTAATGTTTCTGATCTCTCCTATTCCGTCCCTAACTTTGTTTAGATGGCTGAGGATAATGTTTGTTTCAGCCGTAATGT